AAAGGACAGAACAGCATCCACTGCAGTTGGAGAAAAGGAGAGGTATACAGCATATCCCTCTCTGAGCCCCACAACTCTGGATGACCTCACCCAGCGGACTCATATAGATATTAAATAGCATTGGCAAGATGATCAGCCCCTGTGCAGCCCCACAATTGAGGATCCACAGGGTGGAAGTCATCTCACCAAACTTCACTCTCTTGGGACGGTCCTCCAAGAAGGAACGGAGCCATGCCAAAGCGAGGCCACCAATCCCCAACTTGGAGAGCCGTCCCAGGAGGATTCTGTGGTCGATGGTATCAAAGGCCACTGAGATATCGAGGAGGACTAACAAGGACATATTGCCCCCGTTGACCTCCCTCAGGAGATCATCCTGCAGGGCAACCAAAGCTGTTTCCATACCATGCCGCAGCCTGAAGCCCAACTGGAATGGATCAAGGGTGTCAGTTTCCTCCAGGAGTGCCTGAAACTGATCAGCCACCACCCTCTTGACCATTTTACTTAAGAAAGAAACATTGATGATGGGCCTATAATTTCCAGTTTCGTCCGCCACCAAATTAGGTTTCTTTCGAATGGGCTTAATGAGTGTCTCCTTGAGGGCAGAGGGAACCATGCCTTCCTGGAGAGACCCATTAATTATTTCAGGGGCCCGTTCTGTTGTTACTGGCTTGGCTGCTTTGATGAGCCAAGCCGGGCAAGGGTCTAAGGAGGAGGTGATGGCATGACAGTGCGCAAGCACCCTATCCACCTCATTGGATGTCACAGGTTGAAAGCAGGTTAACCTCTCTGGACAAGATGATGCACTGTACATCTCAACTCGATCTACTGTCTGTAAAAAGGGATCAAGCTCCCAGCAGATGACCTCCACTTTGGTCACAGGAAATACTAGTAGGAGGCCTATCACCGTGGCCAACTCTGGATAGATTGTGCACTATACGGAAAAGTTCCGCCTGCTGGTTGTGAGCTTTGCTTATCCGGTCAGCGAAGAATGGTCTTGTAGCAACTTTTACTGTAGCTACTCTAGCTAGGTAAAAGTTGGACACGATCCTGGCAGCTTTTAAATTAATTTAAATTAATAGTGCTAAATTAAGAGCTTCTGATTGAAGAAGCTCTTGCTGAAAAAGAAAAAACCTGTTTTTTAAAAGCACACAAAAACAGGTTACATTATGCATTGTAATACTTGTTATTGCAATGTCTGGATGGTGGAGAAAATATATCACCAGTGAAATGAATTGTTTATTCTGTAGAAAGTATTTTAAAAGGTGGGATTAGGGACACAGTAGGTCCAATCCTAGGCATAAGAGTCAGCCACATTCAACTCAAGTTGGACTTGCCTGTGCCTGAACATTAAACAGGATTGTGCCTGAACATAAACAGGATTGTGCTATACATGGCTTGTTTCTTCAGTGACATGAAAAAATTGCTTATTTTACAAGTAAACAACAAGAGTAAATATGTGAGCAGCAATGTAACTTTTTTTAAAATTCAGCATCCAAAATAATCTTGTGTCGTTTATACCAGTAGAAGGCAAACAGCATTAACTTGCAATAGCATATCACTAGCAATGAACAAATCTCTTGTTTGGATTTTTGGGTGCCTGCCTGCTGGCTTAGCACCTTCCTGGAAATCCATGTAGGACTCATTAATTACCAAGGAGGAGCTACTATAATTAATACTGTTTGCCTTTCAGCAAGTATAGCTAGGGAACAGAATTTTGGCCAGTGTCTCAGAGCTTCTCCAGAAGTAATTAGTGATACTATAAAAATATATGAATAATGGGAAGGTGGGTGATATAGCAAACTACATTTGAAATAAAGAGGTTGTGGCTTGTAATTAGGAGTGAATTGTAGCATATTTTAAAATCAGGTCATTATCTCTTTATGAAATACTGTATTTGTTTCTTTGTTTAGGAGTATAGTGAATATGAAAGAAATAAAGGGAAGAATGAGCTTATTATAGAAACTATTAAAATCTAGGTAAAATATCTAAGGATTAGATAGAAGTTTAGAAGTTAACCTGGTGTGAAAACTAAAAAGACTCCACTATGCAATGAATCTATGGTGAAGTGAGCCAAAAGACATTACTTATATAATCAATCCACAATGAAGGGTTTGCCTTCCATTTGCTCTGCATGAAGATACTTTTCAATCATGGCATTGATTTAAGAGTCAATATTCTCATTTCTTTGGATTATAAAACATGTACTCTTTTACTCAAAAGACAGTAGTCAGTGTTCCTAACTAGGGAGAACAAGGAGAGTAGCAATGGATGAACAGTGAGCAAGTACAGCAGTAGGTGCTCAGGGTTCATTCTGGTTGGGAATCAAGTAAGGGGCACCCAAAAAGCTATCAGGCACAAACCATTATAGTAGGTAGTTCTTAGAGGAAATTGTGAACATATTTATTTTATTTATTTATTTATTGCATTTATATGCCGCCCATCTAGACATGGTCTACTCAGTATGTACCACTCTGTGTTTGTGTTTTGTTATTTTTTCTTCTTTAAATAAATATCTCTTTAACAGTCTGCAGTAAGCTGTATTCAAAATACTACACCATATTATTGAAGCTGTTTGGCCTTTTATTATTATTTTAAATGTAAGTTTCTTCATAATATACTGGAAAGGGAATATACATGTACAATTTGAAAAATGCCTCAGGTTGCACTTTCTGAAAAGAATTGAAGCTTTTATTTTTAAAATGATCTACAGTGGTGCCTCGCTTAGCGACGTTAATCCGTTCCAGGAAAAACGTTGCTAAGCGATTTAATCGCTAAGTGATTTTAAAAAGCCCATAGAAACGCATTAAAACGTGTTTAATGCGTTCCTATGGGCTTAAAAACTGACCTTATGCGAGGATCCTCCATAGGGGTGGCCATCTTCGGTGCTTCTAAAGTGAGGCAAAACAGCGGGCGGTCATTTTGTTTTTCCGGTGGCCATTTTGGAACCGCTGATCAGCTGTGCAAAAAGGGTCGCTTTGCCATGATCGCTTCCCTGCGATCATCACAAAGCGATTTTTCCCCATAGGGGCCATCGCTAAGCGATCGCTCTGGCGATGGCCAAAACCCCATCGCTAAGTGATTTCATTGCTCAACAGAGCAATCGCTAAGCGAGGCACCACTGTATATGTTACAGTTGGAAAAGGAATGCAAGCAGCTTTACCTTCCCTTTCGTTTGTTAGCGGTGGCTTTTTCCCTTACAAATGAAAAGTGGTTAAGATAGCTGTGAGTTCTGCTTGTGTTTAGTAGTTACAAACAACAGTGATGTTTATCATGATTTAACAGCTGTGTGAGTTGTTATGCTATCTAAAATGAGGCCTGCTTTGAATACAACAGAGAAGTGTCAAGAGAACAGTGCAAGTAATTTATATGTGTTATCCTGACAGTTTGCACCTGATCTGAAACATAGAGGGAATTTGTGTCCCCATATCTGGCAACCACACATTTCCACACCAAGTTCATTCTTCTGCTTTACATTATTCATGGCAGTGAACAATGTGTTGTTCCATTCCTGCCATCTCCTTGAAACATCCAAAGAAGCTTTCAAATGTGTTTAGCAACCTGTAGCTGCACTCCTCCTTAATTTGTTCCAGTAATTATTTTAGATATGTTTGGAAAGAGGGGAGAAAGGTTCTGAAACGCTAAAAAGAACTGGGTGGACACACAAGGAGTAAAAAGGGAGAGTGGAGGAAAGTTCAGCTTCAGCCACCAGCAGGACTTCACATTCAGGCTAAATGTGTCACTTTAGACCAGAGGTAGGCAAAGTGCAACGTTCCAGATGTTATTTGCTTGCAGCCTCTGGTATTCCTCGGTGTTGACTATGATGGGTAAATTGATGGGAATTGCAGTTCAGGAGCATTTGTAAGGCCACAATTTGTTCACTCTTGCTTTGGTGCAGAGGTCCCCAACCCCTGATCCACGGTCCAGTGCCGGTCCGTCACCCAAGCCAGACCGAGCCGCAGAGACCTGCCCCTGCACGCACTCACCCACACACATCCTGTTTGTTCCTGCGTATGAGTGTGCGTGCGCCTACACGAGCGCTGCACCGCCCTTCACACATGCACACGAGCACCTGAACGAGCGCTGCTTCACGTAAGTGCATGCGTGCCTATGCTCATGAGCGCAGTGGGTGCCCCCCCTTCCCCAGCTGGTCCATGGGGCTAAAAACGTTGGGGACCGCTGCTTCAGTTAACTCAGTGGCACTTACTTTTGAATGACCTATACAGGGCTATGCTGTTAATCTTTTAAGTTTCCTTATTTTCCCCCAGTTTTATTAATTTTCCAAAATTTTGTTCAAAATGTATGGTAAGTATAATATAATTTACCAAAAAAAGAAAAAGAAAAGAAAAGGAGAGATACTGCAGTTAAAAGCAAACAAAGGCAGAAACAACCAGCTGCAGCGGCTTCTTTGTAAAAGTAGGATAAGTGTTCTGAAAACTTCAAATAGTCAGCTGGGGTTTGGGAGGCATATAGAAAGCCTTCCTTATTGGCACCAAAATTAAAGGGAGGCAGTGTGCTTACAAATGAATACCAGTTATTGTAACTTCCTCTCATAATTCTCAGGTTATGGGTAAATTTTATGGACACAGCCATTTTACATGATCAGTCCTTTGAGGGCCTTCCATTGTGCAACTATTTCCATTCTAGCTATTTCAAGTAATGCTTTAATAAAGATTTTATGGTGTATAGCATTCAGATTGGGAGAGAAGTAGCAATGTCTCATCCCATTTAATGGCTGATTTGTGACTTGGGCAGTGAAACAAATAAAGTGTTCTATAAGGGACATAATCTTGGCTTGGGCAAAGGCATCAATATATGAAGGAGGGAAACAGTGTTTTTAAACTTTGTATAAATGAGAACTGGAAAAGACTGCATGAGTTCATTTGACTGGAAATGTCTCTACATTCTGTTTTATTAATTAAAAATTAAAGCCTACATTGAATAAACTCATGATTTGATGAAAGTTTAGACTTTTAATTAAAAGTGCTTTTGTTTGTTTTCAGAATCTTGCTCAGGTGTCTTAATTGCTGTCTGGATCCTGAATTGTGCCATAGGTATGTTTGTTTTGAATTTATTTATTTTGATTGGCGAGTTTACCCAGTTCTCCAGTGTTTTTATCATTTAATTTCCATAACTGCAGCCTTAAGAGCATCTCCAGAAAAATGATAAAATCCCCCTTCATGGTACTTATGTCAGATTTGAAAAATATATGCAAGTGGCTTATATGCTATACTCTGTGATTAATTTTCTTTTCACATTTAACTTGCTGATGGAGCTACATTTTTGAGTGTATCCCATTGCCAGACGTGGAGCATACTACCATTTGTTCCCACACAGAAGTCTATGCAATCTACAAAATTGTTGACTGCGCTATATATTTAATTCTGCTTTCTTTATGAATAACAGAGTTTCACTACATCTGTGTTCATTTTGGGGGCTGCTAATGAGCATAAGAACTAAGTGTCAATGTAGTCTGATTTATTAGTTTCATGTTGCCATCTTAATTCCTAGCAAGGGAAGAATGAAGGGATTTATAATCTTGGCATTATTAAGAGGTGCAACAATCACTTGAAGGGAACTTTCTGTAATGCTGCTTCCATTGCATTGTATATTTAAAAAATAATTACACGTATTCTCGAAGGCTTTCACGGCCGGAATCTGATGGTTGTTGTGGATTTTCGGGCTCTTTGCCCGTGTTCTGAAGGTTGTTAGGCTGGATGAGTGTCAGAGTGTCCTTTATCGGTACAAAATCAGGGAACTTCTAGACCCCACCACCTAACAGAAAACTGAAACAGGACCCAACCAACAAAATCACAAAACAAACAAACGTGCTTATCAGGAGTTCCTCCCTGCATCTCAACGTCTTTCAATAAATCTGCAAGACAGAAGCTCTCTCACCAAGACTATATGGACTCCCCAAAGTCCACAGAGACTCAATCCCACCCATTGTAAGAGCCATCAAACCGAGAAAACAGCACGAAACTGAAGAGGAAAAACAGCCACCCACAAAAAGCATTTCTGCCATGCATCAGAGGGGTTACGGACCATATGGGGAACTTTTGAAAAAAAAAACAAGCTACAAACAGTATTCAAGCCCACCACAAAAATACAACAAAAGTTACCGTCAGCAAAGGACAAAAGGGACCCCCTCACCATTGCAGGAGTATACAGGATACCTTGCAGTTGTGGCCAGGTATATATTGGGACCACAAAACGCAGCATTCACACCAGAATCAAAGAACATGAGAGACACTGCAGACTAAAACAGCTGGAAAAAACAGCAGTAGTTGAACATGCCCTAAAACAAACTGGACATGAAATTCTATTTCAAAATACTGAAGTACTGGACAATACCAGCAATCATTATGTTAGACTGTGCAGGGAAGCCATTGAAATCTACAAACACTAGCAGAGCTTCAACAAAAAAGAAGGAAGTTTAAAACTCAAGAAAGCCTGGCTCCCAGTACTGAAAAATAAAGCCTCCAAAAGGTCAATGAACTCTACCCAGCTACACGGACTAGTGATCACTGCACACAAAAGACCAGCTAACGACACCCATCAATTACAGTGACAGATAATCTCTCCCTCTTATCACAACAATACACCCACAATAAAAACACCCTGATCACCACAATCACCCACCTCCTGAAAAGGACAAAAGCTGATCCCACAGCTATAAATACTCAGCTATCCAAACAAACTGCACCAGAGCACAGACAGAGTTCTGACTCCTGTCCTCTGAAGATGCCGGTCACAGAGACTGGCGCAACGTTAGGAAGAACAACCTTCAGAACATGGGCAAAGAGCCAGAAAAACCCACAACAACCAATTACATATATGTTTGCTTTGAAGCTTTCTTGACTTTAAAGAGAAGTTCACAAGGATCTTCTTTGTTCATATTCTTAGCAAGTTTCAACTAAAATTCACAAAAACGCAGTCTTCGTTACTGATGCCAGACATTTTTTGAAGCTCTAGCCATGTTAATCTGTTGCAGTAAAAAGTGGCTTGTGGCAGTTTTAAAAGCAATACGTTTTATTTGATGTGAACTTCCATGGAAAATAGTCCACTTCTGATACAGGAATACAACAGGGAAGGAAACAGAGACCTGCTGGCTGGCTGCATATGGTCCCAGAGGCTGAAATATGGCCCCACCAACTCCATGAACCCTTAAAAGTTCATTTTCTACCCTCTAGTGGACATGGGAAGCAATTTTGCTATATTTAGAGCACCTTGGCCCCTTCTTCTACTTTTTTGTAAATTTGAAAAATGTTTCAATCACAGGAGTGCATGAGGGAGGAGACTTTTCAGTTAAATACCTCATTTTTCAAAAGGAAAAATACTTTTGGAGTAGGCAGGTTAGAGGAGTGGGTACTCTCCAAATTCTAGGAATGGGTATCTGGAAGTTACCTATGCCCAAGTACCATATTCAGACCCTATGCTTACTGGTTATTATGTTGCTCTGCACCATCATTTCAGACTTGGGGCAACCCTAATGAACAAATGACAGCGAGAAGGTCCTGTCATTAACAGAGCTGCTCAGGTCTTGAAAACAATAGCTTATGGCTTTACTGAGTCAGGCCATCTTGTGTTCAGTCTTATTTTCCTCCTACTTTTGGCATTTTTAGTATTGTTGCCTTTTTATTGAGTCTTTTATTCTCAAGTAAGTCCAAAGTACAGTAGCATTTGTTCAGTTAGTTTAGTATGTAGTGACAGTTCAAACTTGGTTTGATACAGCATTCACTGTTTGCATTTCTGGTGCTCCATTCATAAAACTCGTCCAAGATCATCAAATTAGTTTTTTCTTATCAGCATTTTTCATTTTCCAGCTATTATATCTATGCATTGTAACTGGGAATACGATATTCTGAATGAACTTGGCCTTGGTCTCTAGTGTCACAGTCTGACACTTAAGGATCTTTTCTAGTTTCTTCATAGCCAACCTTCCAAGTCTCTGTTTTCTTGGCTACAGTGTTAATTTTGATTAATTATTGAACTTCATATAGAAGTTGTGAGGAGGGGGGTGGCCAGGTTCTGAGCACCACTTCTGGTATCTATCGCTCAGGTCTCTTGGTTGCAGAGGCATTATGTCCCCATTTGACCCCAGGCTCAAACTATCATGGAGGCTTACCAATGAAATAAAGAAATGACTGTTCCATGGAAGCATGACAGGAGTCTACAGATCCCCCTCCCCCCAAAAATAAAAATGAAATTAATTATGAGCTTGCATAAAATCACAGTAATTTATTTACAGTGCTGGAGCAATACACCAAACTTCTGAGTTAGATGTCTGTTAATACTTTCAGTTACAGTTAACGTTTGACTTTACTTCAATTTTTCTTGAATTCTTTCACATCTCCCTTCACTTTTGCATCATTTTCTCAAAAAATCCTTCTCTAACTCAGACATTTAAATTGATGTTCTTTGACTCTCTAAACACTGCCCCAAGCATTCTGAAGACTGAGCTGAGAAGAAGATAAAACACTAGATCTGTCTGTCACATTTAACAATTGCAATTCTGATTATTGGGATGGGGTAAAATGGAATACGGTATAGATAATTATATTAACTATTATATTACATGTACAATTATATTAACTCTGTTAATTGAATTAACAACAATGGCCATAGCCTTCGAAAAGACTGATTAATATAGACATCCTGACAACGATAAGGACAGTTATACAGGTCAATTACTCTCCAAGGCAGCCATTCTCAACTTTTTTTTTGGCTCTGGCCATAAATACAATATGAAAGTAATATAGGCCGAATCAGGATTGTATAATTTATATAAGAAACCTTATAAGATGGTGTGTGAATAATTGTTTCCAGTCTGTGCCCCAACTTCAAATGTGCCAGGGTGCCCTGGGGGGCATATGCCCCTCCCCCATTGAGAATGGCTTCTCCAAGGTGTCAACACAATTTTTTCTTCCAAGACATTGACTGATTTAACTGAAATCAGAAATGCCACAAGACAGTTGGTTGTTATTGACATTGTTAAGCGTGGGTTCCCTCAAGTGCTAGATGTTTGATACTCTGTTTTAATTTGAGTACAGTTATAAGCATTTGAGGACTGTGAGAATTTCTGAGATTATATGAGAGCCTGGAATGTGTGGTGGTACGTTGCTGTTTTGTAGCCTGGGAATCAGCTAGAAGAACATAAAGGTCCTGTGAGCAGAAAGCAACACTCTTGAGTTTAAATACTGTATATAGGAATCTCAGGCTAAAGTTGCATATTGGCAGAAAAAAATGTTTTTGAAGCTTAAACAGAGGAGCAAACCAGAAGAGGAGATATAGAGGCAGTACAACTAAACTGTCGTTTAGTGTACAGCGGACCCTCGACCTACGGAATTAATCCGTATTGGAACGGTGGCTGTAGGTCGAAAAGTCCGTAGGTCGAAGGTCCATTTCCAATAGGAATGCATTGAAAACCATTTAATCTGTTCCAGCCAAAGGAAGAAAAATCCTGGGCTACCAAAGCTGCCCCTGCTGCCCTCTGTCTCCCGTCCCCGGTGCCCTCTGCCTTCTGTCCACACAGGGACAGAGAGCAGAGGGCACCAGGGATGGGAGACAGGGACAGCGAAGGGAGTTGTGAAGCCCAGGAAGCCGAAAGCTGTTCTGCTTTCCCCCTGCATTTCGTAGATCGAAGCTCCGGCTGCAAGTCGAACCAAAATTTTGCGGCCGGAGCTTTTCTTACCGCAAAATTTTTGTAAGTAGGGACCTTCATAAGTCAAGGGTCCACTGTAGTTAGTTGAAACTAGAGTAGGCTCATTGGGGATTTGGTGAATCGGCTCAAGTTCCATAGATTCAGTGGACCTAGTCTAGTTATGACTTATTGCTGTAAGCAACAGAATTTCAGCCATGATGTCAAAGTACTTTTTTTGCTGATTACCGTTTGTACAAAGACAATTGACTACTGCTTTTAGTCAATTGACTATTTTTACTGATAAATACTGTAGACCTGCAGCCCGGAGGATGGGGAAGAACCAGTAATACACTTTTATTTCTGTGATTCAGACACAATTCAGGCTTGCTACCGCTGTACAAAGGATGCTGT